CACATAGAGGTGGTGACAGCCTTAAAAACGGTGAGCTGCATTTTCCCAAAGTTAGCAGATAAATGGGAAAAGAAGAGTGAATATATAAGAATTATTTTGTATCAAAATTCTTTAAATACTGTAAGAAAATCATTTAGAATTTTTTAATGGATATGTTGATGTTGAACTGGGCTGGGGAACAGATACGTTACTCTACGAGATGGGTTAAAATCTTGATTATAGTAAAGAGCCCTGAGTTGAAGACATCCCATGTTTTCGGGCAGCGACCAGGAGTATGGACATATAAGGCCATTACAAAATGGTCGGGAACAGTTCTCACGGTCCACTCAGCGTTCAGTACCTTGGATATCAGCGGAGTGACGTTGCGGTTCTGGATCACACGGACTGAATAGTCACCCCAAAACAGGGATATCATGGCTCCCACGGCACCCAGCTCTCCGAGATGGGGTCCAAAGGATCACGGTGACCCGATCCGGCTGCGCAGGGTGAGGAGCCCTCGCGGAGCTGTGGGGCGCTGGCTCAGACACGTGTGCTTTGGCTTTGCTCCTCTTAGACGTTCACGGCTTAATAAACTTATGAGGCTTTTTAATTCACCAGTATTTTAATCTTAGAAGTACATAAACTTTCCAATTTTCAGAGTCATGAGTGTTAAAAAGCATAATATATAAATAATTCAGTTAAATATAGCCATCTAAACAAATAAAAGCATTTCTAAATATTCACTTTGTTGATTTTTGGATCTATATGAGGGAAGGAAGAGAAAACAATCTACAAAGAAGTTCATAAAACATATTTTAAAAGAAATTGACAGAAGATGAGGATTTCAACATCAAAATAAAGAGAGAACATGGTAATAATTGCTAGAAAGTAGTATATGTAGCTGGTCAGAAGGAGACTATTAGAAAAATTCTAGATAAATTTCCAAATGAAATAGGTTTCAAAACCCTAGTGGTAGAAGTGGACATAAATGTTTTACTGCCTGGTGTGCAGAGAATGGATTGTCACTGTAGGTCTAGCTTTGAGATATCTAATAAAGAGTAGCCTCCAATCTGTAGTCAGATTCTGTTTTTTCATCAACTAACCATGTGTTAATATTTATAAAATACTTCTAATGAGACAGGATGTATAGAAATGACCTATATTAACTCAGTCTTCCAGGCAAACCTTTGATAGTCCTACTCATTTTAAAGTAAGTTATAAACAGGTATGCAAATATTTGCCCAAATTCTTATAGACTCTGTACCACCTCAAACAAGGAAATAAGGCACATAAGCAGGGAAAATGAAGGAAGAAAATATTTTTTCATACTACTCAATACCAGATAGAATAAAATTGGATACATGGGAGTTGATAAACATACATAGTCTAATTGTTTCTATCCTTGGATTTTTCATGCTTTATGGATTACTCATGTCCAAAGAAAAGTACCCAACACTCTCCGACTCTAGCATGGTGACTGAATTCATGCTTCTGGGATTTTCAGGTGTGCTGGAGCTCAGAGCCTCGCACGCCGTGCTGTTCCTACTGATATACTTGGCGACCCTCACGGGGAACCTTCTGATCGTCACGGTCACCACCTTTGACCATCTTCACACTCCCATGTACTTCTTCCCCAGGAATCTGTCTATCCTGGACATGTACTACATTTCTGTCACTGTGCCCAAGGCGTGTGTCATCTTCCTGCTGGATAGTGCGATGATCTCCGTAGCTGGATGTGCAGCTCAGATCTTCTTGGTGCTTGTCTTCGCTTTACCAGAGCTGCTGTTTCTCACCGTCATGGCCCGGGACCACTATGTGGCCGTCTGCCTGCCCCTCTCCTACCCTGCAGTCATGAGCCCTCAGGTCTGTGTCCAGATGAACCTGGCCTCCATCCTCAGTGCTGTGGTCAACTCAGGGTTCCACACTGGCAACACATTCTGGCCGTCCTTCTGTCAGTCCAACGTGGTCCACCAGTTCTTCTGTGACACCCCCTCCCTGCTGAGGCTCTCCTGCTCTGACACCTTCAGCAATGAAATCGCCATTTTTGTCTGTTCTGTGGGGATTGCAGGTGGCTGCTTTGCCTTCATCGCTGTGTCTTATGTTTACATATTTGCTACTGTGCTCAGGGCTCCAACCGGAAGAGAGAGAGGAAAGGCCTTTTCCACCTGTGTCCCTCACACCCTTGTGTTAACAGTGTCTGTCAGCTCAGCCGCTGCCGTGCATGTGAAGCCAAGCTCCACCCCGCCCACAATTCAGGACACGGTCACATCCATGCTCTACAGTATAGTCCCTCCCCTCTCGAACCCTGTTATTTATAGTCTAGGAAATCAGCAGATAAAGGAGGCTGTACAGAGAACTATGAGGTTTTATTAAGAAGATTATCATTATTTCAATGCATTTCCTCTTTGATGAGGTGAGTTGAAAATGCTTCAAGATTAGTTTTCTTGTCTGTTTCCAACTTTAAGGGCTTGATTTATTTCTAAGTGACAATCAGTATATCATCTCAATATAGAAAAAAATATAATTGTTTTTCCTCTCCAAAAACACACATTCCCTCATTCCTGAAACATTACTGCTAAAGACTGCTATTGTTTGTTAAATATTTACCTTTCCAGTTTTTCCCCTTTAGATCTAGAAAGTTTTAGAACAGATAAATTGTATATTAACTTTAATCTCTCTTTGCAATTATGAATCATTCATTCATCCTATATTTTAAATATTCCTTAAAATTCATAAAATATGAAAACTGGTCAAGAACAACACTAAAATATAACTTTTAATAATTAGGTGAATAGGTGAAATGGGATTTAGGGCAATCAAAAACTCTATATGATACTGCAAAGTGAATTCATGACATATGAGCCTGTTAAGACTCACAGAGCTGTAAAATACAAAGAGCAAAATCTAATGTAAAATGCAGGTTTTTGTTAATGCATCATTATTGGTTCATCAATTATAACAAATTTACCATCTCATGAATTTGTGTCTCCTCCAATTTCTTTCATCAGGGTCTTACAGTTTTTAGAGTATAGGTCTTTCACCTCCTTGGTTAGGTTTATTCCTACATATTTTATTCTTTTTGGATACAATTTTCAATGCAATATTTTCCTGATTTCTGTTTATGCTAGTTTATTGTTAATACATAGGAATACAAAAATTTCTTTATATTAATTTTGTATCCTGCAACTTTGCTAAATCCAGTTATTAGCTCTAATAGGTTTTTGTGGACTCTTTAAGTTATTCTGTCTGTAATATCATGTCATCTACAAATAGTGCCAGTTTAACTTTTTCCTTGCTGATTTGGATGCTTTTTATTTATTTTACTTGTCTGACTGCCATGGCTAGGACTTCCAGTACTATGCTGAATAAAAGTTGTGAGAGTGGGCATCTCTGTCTTCTTCCTGATCTGAGAGGAAAAGCTTTTCACCACTGAGTGTGGTTTCAGCTTTGGCTTTATTTTCTATGACTTTTAATATTTGAAAGTCTGTTTTCTCTATAACCCTTTGTTGAAAGTGTTTTTCATGAATGGATGTTGAATCCTGTCAAATGTTTTTCAGCATCTACTGAGATGTTCACATAGTTTTTATCCTTCCTTTTGTTAATGTGTTTTTTCACAGTGATAGATATGTGAATATTATACTGTCCTTGAATCCCTGGAATAAGTCTCAATTGATTGTGATGGTTGATTATTTTTATGTATATTTTAAATTCAGTTTGCCCAAAGCAATTTACAGATTCAATACAATTTCTATCAAAATACCTATGGCATTTTTCAGTGAACAAAATTGAATAATTCTAAAATTTATTTAGAACTACAAAAGATCCAAAATAGCCAAGAGAATCTTAGGAAACAAAAATAGAGCCCTCTGATATCAAGCTATAATATAAAGCTACAGTAATCGTAACAGTGTGGTGCTGACACAATAACGGACCCATAGATCAATGGAACAGAATGGAGACCCCAGAAAAAATGAACTCACAAATTATGGTCAACTAATATATGACAAAGGAGGCAAGAATGTACAATTGAGTAAAAAGAGACTCTTCAATAGTTGGTATTGGGAAAACTGGACAGTTATAATTAAGAGAAGGAAACTGGATTACTGTCTAATACCATACACTAAAAACTTAAATAGAAGACATGAAATATCATCCCCTTATCCTATGTAGATACTGTATTTAAATGTACTGATGACTCTTTGATATATCCTGTTTACTGCTGCTCTCCTTGTATAACATATCTTATTCTTTATGTATTCCTTTCCATAGTTTCACTATTTATGATTTCACATAAATTAATGTTCAATTTCTAATCTATCATTAATTCCAGTCAGTGTAATTTTTATCACACATAGTGAATTTTTAAAAATCTTTAGGAGTTACCCAAAGGTCTTTTTATATCCCCCATATATCCACATTGCTTTCAGAACACATGCCAGAGTTATTTTTGCATTTCTTTGCATTTGCTTGCCTGCTAATGCTAATATCTGTTTAACTTGGGTCAGTCTTGATGAACCTTTCTTCTTCTTATTTCTTGATATTTCCTTTTTGTGTGTGTGTGCGCATGTGCATGACTTTTAATCCCTAATTGGATTCCAGATATTGTGTAGTTTACCTAATTTGATGCTGATACTTCGTGTTCATATGAATATACTTGATCATTGATTAAATTTATAATTATGATTTTGGAAACATTTTTTTCTTTAGGTCTTTCAAGATTTTTGTCCAGGAACAGTGCAATATTTATTCTAGATCTGATTTTTATTAGTGACTGAAAAATTCCTTCCAAGATGGTGAGAGTTTCTATTCTAAGACTATTGAATATAGATGCTCTTCCTGGAAAATGTGAATACATCTTCCTCTTCTTTTTTATTATGTTTTATTTTCATTTGGATTGGGTAGTTTCTTCAAGTGTGCACAGAACACACTGTGGAAAGCTGCAGAGAAATCTGCAGATTTCCAGATCTCTTTTTATGGACAGCTGATTCCTCTGATATTATGTGCTGTAAGTCACCCACCAGTGTCCCCAGAATCTCATTCCCATGTCCTCGTACCAGGGGTCCCACTGGCTGTCACCTGGGCCCCCTTGAGCTGGAGTACAGCCCTTCAGGAGGCTCCTTTGTTAACATTCATGCTTTTATGTCAACATTTTGCCTTCAGTGGGGCTGTAACATAAGGACTCAGTTGGAAGGCAGCATTAATCATGAGATGTTGCTTATGATATTAGGTAATAAAGTCTTCTGACATCCCTCCTGGCTGCCCCGTTACACTGCTCCTCTCACCCCTTCAGTAGCTCGTGCTGAGGTAAGTCATCCGCCATGCTGAAGGAATCTCCCGTGGGTGGGCCCACGTGGCTAGGTCCTGTGGCCTCAGACCAGTATGTAGTGAATTTTGAGGGGAGATTCCCCATCACCATTTACAGTTTCAGGTAGAGTTAAAACCCTTTCCAAAACCTTGACAGCAAGCAAATGAGAAGCCTTGTTAGAGACACCGTGATAAGTCTCCTGTATTCCTGACTCACAGAAACCATGAAATTTTACATATTCATTGTTTGAACTGAACTTGCTGTTCTCTGAGGGAATTTATTAAGCAGAATTTATATTTACTATCATTTTTGGTACCTGTAGGTGGGATGATGCTATAATAATAAAAAAAATATTGCCTTTAGAATACTGGGATTGTGAGGAAACTTGACAGAAGTGGAAAGTTCCTGGCATTCGTGGAAGTCTCATGGTATTGGTGAGGCTGCCACTAGGCTTGGGGGAAAGTGAGGAAGAGCTTGTCAGGAACTTCAGGAGGGGTGATGTTCTATGTTGTGAAGAAACTTAGAACACTGTTTTCTGCAGTAATGTGGACAGTAGGAAATAAATTCTGTGAACAGTGTGATGTAGCTAAATCAACATTCACATTAGATATTGAAGATACTCCTTTATTCTTCATGCTTGACTATGGTAAAATGAAAGAGGGTAGAGATAAATTGAAAGGAGTAGTATTAAAATATATGACTCAGAATTTGTTATTTTAATAATTATTAGGCTCCCCACATCAAATTTGACTAAAATTAATGTTACCCTTGATCAATAATAAAAATAAGAGAACATCTAGGATATACAATCTTCTGGAAGAAAACTTAAAGAAATCGTGAGTAAAAGACCCACCGGAATGACTGTCAATACCTTAAGTATCACATCACTAAACCCAAGTCATGTTCCATGGGTCCATCCTCTCATATTAAAGAACACAAGGCATCTTGGAAAAAAATGTCAGACTAGTGTGTAAAACACATACAGCACTGTATTTATAAAAGTTTGAATCTCACTGAGTGACAGTGAATAAGTCTGAAGTATCTTCATAGTTTTCCTGAAGAAGTCTTTCTTAATACTACTTTCGTCAGAGCTCCCTTTACCTGTTTGCTTCTAAGACTGTAGATGACAGGATTCAAGAATGGGGGAACAATGGTATAAAATACAGAAAGAATCATGTCCAGAACTGTATCAGAGGCTCCTGAAGGCCTTAGGTACACACTGCTGCCAGAACCGAGGAAGACAGAGAACACAAGGATGTGAGGGACACACGTGGAGAAGGCCTTGCCTCGCTCTCTGGTGGGAAACTTGAGCACAGTGGAAAATATGCGGAGGTATGACATTGCAATGAAGATAAAGCAGCCACCACCAATCCCCATGGCAAAGATAAGAATTAAGAGCTCACTGCTGAAGGTGTCAGAGCAGGAGAGGCTCAGCAGAGAGGGGACATCACAGAAGAACTGATGGACCACGTTGGACTGACAGAAGGACAGCCGGAAAGTGTTTCCTGTGTGCACACCTGCATAGATGAGGCCACTGAGCATGGAGACCAGTGTTGTCCAGACACAGAACTGGTGGTTCATGATGAGGGGGTAGTGGAGGGGCTGGCAGATGGCCACATAGCGGTCATGGGCCATGATGGTGAGGAATAGGAGCTCTACATACACACAGTAAATAACCAGGAAGACCTGAGCTGCACAGCCAGCCCTTGAAATGGCCCTGTTGTCAATGAGGGAATTGACACAGGCTTTGGGGACAGTGACAGAAACATAGCACACATCTAAGATGGACAGGTTCCTGAGGAAGAAGTACATGGGTGTGTGAAGGTTCTGGTCCAGAGTGGTGGCAGAGATGATGAGGAGATTCCCTAACAGGGTGGCCAAGTACATCAGTAGGAATAATAGGGCATGTAGGACCCTTAACTCCAACACTTCAGCAAAGCCCATGAGGAGAAACTCAGTCACCATAGTGGAATTGGCCATTTCTGGAAATGCTGGTTGACCAGGGAGGCAAAAGAGAAAAGCCATGGAAGATTTGAAAAAGAAGAAAGAAAGTTAGCTTAATTTCTTT